AGTTTGCAAACTCCGCCTCGGGGTACGAACTGGATCCACGGCCATTTTTCGCCGTGACATGTGGTCCGCAGCCATTTTCCACCCGTGCCACGTGGTCCGCGGCCATTTTTCCGCCCGTGCCACGTGGTCCGCGGCCGTTTTCCCGCCCTTGACGCGTGGTCCGCGGATGCCAGAATGGATTAACTGTAATTACATTGAACCTTATGGGAAAATTTGCTTCAGGTTGCGAACAAATCGGGTTGCGACCAGAGTCACGGAACAGATTAAATTCGTAACCCGAGGTACCACTGTATACCCAGAACAAATCGGGTTGCGACCAGAGTCACGGAACAGATTAAATTCGTAACCCGAGGTACCACTGTATACCCAGAACAAATCGGGTTGCGACCAGAGTCACGGAACAGATTAAATTCGTAACCCGAGGTACCACTGTAATAATCTTTGCGGGAGAGGGGAGGAATGGTCATGAAGTAACTCTGGTTGGGGGAAAAAATGCCTTTTTTGTAGTTTTGCGTCCTCTGGCTAATTCTCTGCTTCCATTCTAGAGTGGGCCAGAAAAGGCGGCAGCACAACTCAAGGAGGGTAAGTGTGCGAGGGCTGGGGCGTGACTCTGACCTCTTGAGCTGGCAGTTTGCCCCTTGGCCCCTGCTGTCCACTTGCCAGACTCCTCCCTGAGCCCGTGCAGATACTTGATTACTCTTTTCTCTAGGCAGTTCTCTGACCTCTTTTGCACCAATGACTTTACCGCCAGGGGTCTGCGTCATGCCTGTTTACCTCTTGGAGGATGAAGCGGCTGCTCTCCGGGAATTGTCTGTGGAGTGGACGACTGGGTAAGACTGGAGTTGTGAAGGTCCCTCGGGGCCCAGGTGTGGCTTCAGTGACTCCCATCAGACTCCCTGAGTAGGTTCCCAGCCTCACGTTCTCGCTGCTGCTGCCAACAGAGGCCCTCTGGCCTCCCTGCACCCTCCCAGGGGGTCTGGCCAACTTCCATGGGGATGGGCAGCACCGATGTCCTCCCATCTAGACGGCCGACCATTCCTCAAGGGAGGCAGCGAGCCCCGCCCCTTGGGGGAGAGACCGCGCAGGAGGTGCCCGGCTCAGCAGTCCCGCCCTGCCTCCACAGGGGCTCCCAGGGAGACCTGGCCAGCAGCAAAGACAGCGAGACTACCCCCAGAGGGACGGATGGGCCCAGCGGGACCCTGTTGATGAGGATGGTCTTGTACGTTCACCACATCCGGGGCTTGGTGTTGACCCTCCTGGCCGAAGAGCCCTTGGTGAGCTCTGCAGACTTCGTTGAGGACGTGGTAAGGAGAGTGTATCCTCCCCAACCTGGCTCAGGGCTTTGGAAGGCTGACGAAGGCCAGTTTCCCTGCCCTCTGGGAGGAAGCCCCCCATCCAGGAGTATTTGGGGGACTCAGGCAGCGTGCTGGAACCCCAGCCTTTGCTGGAAATGGGGAGAGGCCACCCAAGTCCCCCCTTCCCTGCCCGGCAGGCTCCTCCAAGGCAACTCCTGTAGGATTGTGCAGCAAGAGAAGGGGAGGTCCAGGGCACCGAGGAGGGGCTGCCTGCTGAGCAAAGAAGCTGGTGGGGGCGAGCCTTGAGGGAGGAGGGAGCTCCCGCAAACCCCTCCAGCTGCCCTTCTCTCTCTCTCCACAGTACCACAGCAGCCTGGCTTCCCTGAACGGCCTGGAGGTCCACCTGGCAGAGACCCTTCCGAAGAGCACCCTCTCCTCGTCCAGGAGCACCTACAGCTTTGCTCACTATGACGCCGTCCAGAACATCCTTACCAGTGAGTGGGGCTGGGAGGTGGCCTCTGGCCAGGATGGAGCGCCGCTGCTAGAGGGAGGAAGCCCGGTGCCCCTTCCTGCTCCTGCCCCGGGCGTCGTCTTTGTTGACAGCGTGACTTGCCCCTACAGCCAACTTCCTGCAGACCACAAGCCCTGAGGACCAGCTCTTCCTGCAAGCCACTGGCCTAATCCATGCCACCTTTGAGCAACTCCCCACAGCATCTGAATTGACGCTCAGGTAGAGCTGGGCTGGGGGGAGAGGGGCATGGCCTGTGCAGCTGGGGAGAGTCCCCCTGGCTGGACCACACCATGCTGCCTGCCACTGTTTCAGCTCTTCCGCTGTCTGTGGGTTCCTGACCCTTAGAAGCGGGTGCACAGAAGCAGCAGCAAGGGCCAAGGGCCTTCCCTTCCTGTGTGTCACAACTCTCTGTTTTGATGTTATGTTTTAACCAGGCTCTTTGGGCAGGCGGTTGCTGCCCATTTGCCCTCTCGTACGGTGGGCACAGTTGCCGTAAGCTGTGCAACGTGTTTTCTGCACAGCTCCCCTGGCAGAAAACACCCTGACCAGCTTGTTGATCTGTTCCAGGAACGCCACCACGGCTGTCTACGGCTGCCGGAACACCATCCAGGAGACCTACTTTCAGCAGAGGGGCTCGCCTCTCCTCAACTCGGGGGTGCCCAACCCCCAGGACAGCATCGTCTATCTGCCCGGCAAGGCCCGGCAGAAGCTGCTGAAGCATGGGGTGAACCTGCTCTGAGGCAGGAGGGGCGCTCCCGGCAGCGGGTCTCTGTGGAAGCCAGGCCTGTCCAGGACTCTCTCAATTCTGGCGCTGGTGCGTTTAACCCTGTCCAATGCTCTTGACCCACTCACTCTGTAGGGAGAGATCCCGGTGCCCAGCTGGGGCCTCTGCCCTGAAAAAGCAGGTGCCCGCTAGCCAAAGAGAGCAGCAATCCAGCTGCTGCTGCGTCTCACATCCTGCCCATCCTAGGTTGATTCAGCTTCAGGCAGGGAGGAGCTCTCTGGTGGGGCACCGACTCTGCCCCCCACCCTCCCTAAAGAGTGCAAGTGCAGCCCCATTCAGGGCCCATTCAGGCTTGGGAAAGCAGATGGGCTCTCTTGCGCTGGCAGACCCCCAGAGCCTCTGCTGCAGGGCAGGGCCCTTCCACAGCTTCCACTGATCAGAAAAAGGGGGATGCTGCAGCCATCAGTGGCCTTCCTCCGTTCGCTCTGGAAGGTGTTTTCTGAATCGCAGATGGTGGCACTGAGAGAGGACTTGCTCTGTCCTGGCAGTCCTCCAGGCTCTCCTGTTTGGGGGGGGTGTCTGCTTCCCTGAGGGGCTCCAGCCCCTTCCCCCGCTTCTGAGATGGGCTGATGGCTTTCCACTCCCTCTGGCAAGCAGACAGGGCTCCCTGCTGTTCTGAATTCTCTGGGCAGCCTTTGTTCGGTAGGAAAGCAGCATATTTGGTGAGCGGGGGGTGGGGGGGTTGTCTGGGTTTGGCTGCAGCCTTCTGCCCAGGAGAATAAAGCTGCCAACTTCAGCTCTGTGGCTTTCCCAGCCTGTGTTCACGACACGCAGGATTAAAGGCACGTCAGCGTGCGCTTTGTTCCCAACTGTGGTGTCCGCTCAGCTGCGTGTCCCGGTGACAGCCCAGCCTCTGCCAGCCAGAGACCAGGGCCTGGGGAGCCCGCCATTGTGGGCGAGCCGTGGGCAGCTGTGTTTTCAGCCAGGCAGGAGTGTTTGCGTAGCAACAGAGGCACCAAATGAAAATACCCTCTGCGCTCGCAGTTGCCGCAGAGAAGCCTTGGCCGCCGTCTGTGCCAGCCGTCTGTCAGCACCAGCCAGCGACACAACGTGTGCTGGAGCTGTCCCCAGCGCGGAAGGGAACTAGTCCCGGACACGTGTTTTGCACCGCTTCCGTTCTGCTGGCCCTCGACACCCTGATTTCTGGGGTTGATTCACCGACTTGCCTGTTTTTGTCCCAGAAGTTGGTAAAAATAGGTGAGCCCCGCTGGGTCAAGTCCTACAGCAAAAAAGTGGTGTGTTTCCAAGAGGGCATGGAAGTTCTCAGAAGGGGAAGAATCATTAGGCTACCGGATCCCAACTGCAAATTCCAGCAAAGCGATGTGCTGTTTACTGGTCTCTAGTGCATCTCCTGGTCTGGGGGTCCTAGAGTTATGCAAAGGGGGTACCCCTGGATGCTCTCTTCCCATTTTGAATCCAGCACCTGTCAGCTGCAGCCTGGCAAGGGATCTCAGGGACCTGTGGTCTAAAACACCCCCAGGGCATTTGCTTCTATGAGCCCTTGCCTAGAGAATCAACTGGATTCCTTTGTCCTGGATCCCAGCACAGAGGAGACTTTTGCCAGCCAGGGCTTCCCCAACCTCTTTCTGGCCCTGTGCAGTTGAACCTGACCCTCTGCCTGCGAGGAAAAGAAGGTTGCCTGTTTTAGGACCAAGACCTTCCAAGCCTTCCCCTCTGACCACTAAGTCTTGCCATGACCACCATAAGCCAAAAAAAACACCCAAAACCTTGAACTGAGCACAGGTGTTTTATTGAAAAGTCTGCTTGGCATCAGCCTGACCAAGCCACAGGGCTGCCAGTCCCCCATGCCTGTAGGTGGGGCGCAAAGAGTCCCACAGGGCTGACTTTGCCCCTCAAATGCCCACATATGAAGAGCAGCATAGCTGCTCAGTTGGGGCTGGCTCGCCTTCAGGTTCTGCCCCCAGGAGGGTGGCCACAAAAAGCCCCTTCCTCCCGTCTCCCGCTTGTCCCTCTGCAGGGGTTGCTCAGGGCAGCCCCTTCCCACCAGTGCCCGAAGGATGCCTGCCCTGGTCCATGCAGGGGCAAAGGAAACAAGGCACAGAGCAGGCCAACGCAAAGCTAGGGAAAAGGGGGACCATCTCAGCCACCAGCACCCCAAGCGCTCTTTGGCTGCCTCGTTTTGCTTTCGCTCGCCTCTGCCATGGGGAAGGGTGGGGGTCCTGTCCCAGGCAGCAATGAGAAAATGGGTCAGGCCTGTGCGGGCCCTCCGGGGCTTCTGAAACTGCAGCAAGGATGATGCCTCCCCTTCCACGGGTGGTTTGCCCTTTAAGGATGATCACAAGAGAGGTTGGCACAACTACGTTCATCAACACCTCCAGGGACTGGCAGATTCAAAGTTCTGGACACAGCAACACACAAATAGCAAGGTGGACATACACTACGGCAGCATTTTGCCTAACCACAGGGTAAAAAGGGGGGAGCTCCACCCCAAGCAAAATGACAGAGGGAGGAGGGTGCAAGATGAAAAGGCCTGGGTACAAAAGTCTGGTGCAAGGGGAGAACCCCACCTCAGCTATGCGTGTGCCTGTGTTACACAGGCACGCACACCAGGGGAGGCCACCTCTGCTGAGACGGGACCCGCTCCAGATGTGCCTCCTGCATCCAGCAGCACCATGTCATCGTCCAGGAGCAAAGATAAAGTCAAGAGCCTGGCGCTCGGCTGCAGCAACGTTGGGGTGCCAGAGGTCTACCATGAACACCGCACGGGGACCTTCCTCAGGGGAGCCTGGAGGGACAAAGAAAAAGGAGGTTAATCCAGAACACCTCCGCCCCAGGGCGGGGGGCACCGGTACAGGTGCCAGCTTTGGTGGGCCAGGGACGCCTCTACCGCAGGAGTCCTCTGGTGATAGCCCACAGGGAGGGAAAAGCACCAGCGAGTAGCCCCTGCACAACGCCGCCTCCAGCCCAGGAAGACAGGCGCCCGCTTGGCATAGGGAGCCGGAGGGGGCTCAGACTTGCCTCCGTGGTGGGCTGTGTGCAGGAAGGAGTCGTCAAAAAGCAGGCAGCGCCCTTCGGCCCAGCACTGGGGCTCGCCCCCCACCACTAGCTCACAACTGCTGGGGGTCTTCAAACCTGCAAGGGAGGAAGGGAAGAAGGGTGGGCCAGGCACAGCATCAGCCAAGCCCCCTGGCCCAAGGAGCTGCTCCTCCGCTAACTTGGCCCCCCCAGACCCGCCTCGTCCAGCACATTTATGCTCCTAACAGGCCACAAAGGAGGAGGGCGCGCGTACGCGTTCACACACGCCTAGCTGCATCTTCAGCACCTGCCCCCAAACAGGGAGGAGCAGGTGGGTGTCCCAGACAGCCCAGAGTCAGTCAAAGGCCTCTTTCTCCCATGCCAAACAGGCGGACCACTGCCTGGCAGAATACAGATCAGGCCACTGCTGCAGTTGCCATGGCAGCTGCCCAGACTGGCATGCAAGCCAGCCTGTGCCAGCCATGCAAATGAGCCTTTACTGTGGGTTATAATGAAGCAGGGAGCTTCATGCACCCTGAACAATTGCCAAAATGGGGTGCCCAACTTTACATCAGCTGATTCTGGGACAATTTGGAAAAGCTCGGAAATCCTATTATCCAGAGAACTTGTTTTCTACCATCCGCGCTACCCACAAGCCACCTTTTCAGACCACTGAACCAGAGGCTTGAAACGTCCTGGCTGCTGGGAACACAACGTCAAAGAGACAGAAAAGGCTTTTTCCTGATATGACCCCAATTCTGCAAGGCAAAATTCTAGAGGAAAAGCTTTGCAGTGAACTCAGACCTATGCGTGATCCCGCAAAATCCTTTGCCTCGATCCTTGGGGGCCGGCTCAAGGGCCCCCTTAGGCTTGTCCTGACAAACGTCCACCCCCTTGCCTGAACCCTACCCGGGAAGCTGGGAGGTGGGGCCAGTCTCACCCGCAGAACCTACCCAGGTGGCAGCGCACGCGGATGTTGGTCGGCCCGTAGTGCTCGGCGATTACGGTGCCAGGGGTCAGCACAGAGATGCAGGCGTTGCCGAAGACGTTGTTGCCCACGCAGGTGCGGAGGCTTCCCAGCAAGCGGTACGTCCGCGGGCACTTCCGACAGTTCCGGGGCACGCAGGTGCCCTGGTTGACCAGGTAGAAGGTCAGCCATTCGCCGCTGGGGGTGCTGTTGACCTTCCACCCCTGCGGCAAGCTGCAGTTGGAAAAGGCTTTGTAGAGAGTGTCGAACTCACACAGGATGGTCTGGAAGTTGCGCTCCAGCAGCTCCACATCGTGCTTCTGCGCCTCCCGGGAGAAGTACGGGGCGGTGGGCAAGTCGGGCAGGAAGAAGACTTCAGGCTTCTGGATGGACGGGCGGCTGCCCAGGTAGCGGCCCTGCTCGCGGATGCCCTTGTGGATCCGGCCCATGCCCGACCAGGAGTACCGCTTGGCGTACTCCTGGAGGTTGTGGTAGAGCTTCTGGTTCAGCCCATCGCTGTGGGCGCAGCGGACGCACTCGGAAGCGTAGCAGCGGGTGTAGCCGTTCTGTAGGCCGGCAGCCTCCACGCCCCCCTGGATAAGCGAGTTCACCGTGACATAGGGCCGGGGCTGCTGCTCCCGCCCCACGTGGTAGCAGTACCAGATGAACAGGGCCAGCAGGACGGCCACCGTGCTGAGGGCAGGGGTATCGCAGTCCCGCACGGACTGGATGGCGGAGCCGATCAGCTCCCTCAGCCGGTCAAGCGACCCGCTCCAGCACATCAGCCCCTCCAGAGACATCTTGGCAGCAGGCAGCGCAAAGCCCCACAATCAGGGCGCCTGCTTCCCACGGGGGCCCAGGAAGAAAGTCAGCAGGGAAGACTGAGCAGGACCCAGGCAGCTTCACCCATCGGAGAAAGGCAGGTCACGCGGGCAGACAGGTCCCAGGGATCCGAGTGCCAAGTGCCCAGCTCAAGGCAGCCAGTGGGGCTGGCCACTGTCGAGGACCCGGCCTCATGCCCTGCCAAAGGGGCTTCCTGCTGCAGCATTGTGCCTCTCGAGGGGGGAGCCGCCACTCTGAGAACCTTTGTCCTCCCCCCAAAGCGCATCCTCCTCCTGCCCTGGGTCTCCAAGCAAAGTGAGCTGCAGGAATCCACCCTTCCTTGATCTCCTTGAAGAGCCTGGAACCAGAACACAGAGGGTCGCTGGGCAGGGGGCATCCTGCCTGTTGCACTTCCATCAGTCCACCCTCACCCCATCACCTGGGGCCCCAGGGGAATGTTGGGGGGGCATCTCCCGCAATCCCCAAAGCTTAAGGAGCCATGCCACCCTTTCTCTTTGGTCTCCCCGGGTTTGGGATGCAAAGCAAGACCCCTCGTGCCAGAGTGGGAACAAAGGAAGCCCCTTTCCAGTCCCAGCCCTGGGCCTCCAGCTTTGGTTACTGGGGGCCGCCTCCCTCCCTCCCTCGGGAAGGCTCTCCAGCACCGAACAGCCTTCATGGCCTGAAGGGCCCTGGGCGAAGCAGCCGGCTCCAGTGTGGTGCCCCTTTTCTGGGGGCTGCATTTCCACAGTGCAGGCAGAAGCCCTGGTCTCAGAGCTTCCAGCTGCCTGCCTGCCTGCCTGCCTCCCTCAGCGGCCTCCGTCCACGTTGTTCCACCCACCAAGGCAGCAATTTGTTAGAGACCAAGAAGCGGTGACTCACTGGCTCTGCCACTCTGAAGGCTACCCACCCCCAAAGATGGCCCAGATGTGACCCACCAGGTCAGGGAGCAGCTGGGATGCTATGTCTCCCCGTTCGCACACTGGCTGGCAAAGCCTTTACCTGAGCCAGAGGCAAGGCCGTGCCACCCATCTCTGCGGGGATGCAAAGAGCAAGCTCCGAGCCACACTCTGCTCGGTGTCCGGGCCGATGGGAGCTGCAGTCCAGCCACAGCTGGGGAGGGGAAGTCCCTTCCTAACATACGAGGCAGGGCCAGGCGGCGCTCAGGCCCTCTCCGGCTCAAATCCCGGCCGGGATCCCCTCCTCACCAGGGATCAA